CTCCTGGACCAGGCTGAGTTCAGGGCAGTGAGTCTTGCAGGAGCTCACCCAGACCATGTCCCAGTGTAGCATGGGCTCACGTAACATATCTGTTTTAATCATTGACATACATGGTAGGATTTCACATTGTTCACACTGTTCAGGAGTTATTTGTAATATTGCAGTTTTAACATATGCACAAAACAGTGCACATAGCATTTGATAAATGTTCCAATTACAACTGAGACAATCAATACTGTTGCTCTTTGTATGCTAGTCCAGGCGAACCTTGTCTCAGAGCTCATCCACAGTACAGACCAGTAAGGCTGAACCAGTCTGATTACAAGCAGGGCTCATCACATTTTTCAAAACAAATTCCTAATCAATGTTCTTATTGAATGATCCATGACCTGTCATATGTAGTATTGTGTTACAGCAAAGATACCTCAAACAGTTTAAATAGCTACACCTGCAGCTGTCAACACCCCCTGTATACAGCATGTCATGTGTCAACACCCCCTGTATACAGCATGTCATGTGTCAACACCCCCTGTATACAGCATGTCATGTGTCAACAACCCCTGTGTAGAGCATGTCATGTGTCAACACCCCCTGTATACAGATGTTATGTGTCAACACCCCCTGTATACAGCATGTCATGTGTCAACACCCCCTGTATACAGCATGTCATGTGTCAACACCCCCTGTATACAGCATGTCATGTGTCAACACCCCCTGTATACAGCATGTCATGTGTCAACACCCCCTGTATACAGCATGTCATGTGTCAACACCCCCTGTATACAGCATGTCATGTGTCAACACCCCCTGTATACAGCATGTCATGTGTCAACAACCCCTGTGTAGAGCATGTCATGTGTCAACACTCCCTGTATACAGCATGTCATGTGTCAACACCCCCTGTATACAGCATGTCATGTGTCAACACCCCCTGTATACAGCATGTCATGTGTCAACACCCCCTGTATACAGCATGTCATGTGTCAACACCCCCTGTATACAGCATGTCATGTGTCAACACCCCCTGTATACAGCATGTCATGTGTCAACACCCCCTGTATACAGCATGTCATGTGTCAACACCCCCTGTATACAGCATGTCATGTGTCAACACCCCCTGTATACAGCATGGCATGTGTCAACACCCCCTGTATACAGCATGGCATGTGTCAACACCCCCTGTATACAGCATGTCATGTGTCAACACCCCCTGTATACAGCATGGCATGTGTCAACACCCCCTGTATACAGCATGGCATGTGTGTCATGAAACTTCAGAGCTTGTTTTCTTCAATGATGACACCTGAGTTTGTTCAAGAGGTTGGAATCTGATTTTCAATATGGCCACACTGGCAGCCACATTAAAACAATTGATTTATGGCCACCCATAACTCAATCCATATTGCACAAATGTAATGAAATTTGCAGCTCATGTTTAGGTCACTTTGCAATTCAACACATATGATCCATTTTTATACAGAGTCTAAATTTTCTCCTTACATTGGTAATGCTCTTAAATTCTCCAAAAATGCTGATTTTGCTCTATAAGTTCCTCTGAAAATGACTGAGGGAGCAGATATGTTTTCCCGTATGATGATATATTTTGTTGAGATCATTAGATACTTGTGCTAGTTTTTCCTCAGTACTTATGAAGAAAATATTTCAGTACCAATGCTGACAGTAACTTAGGTCTGTGTTTGTTGACATTTGAAGCTGTTGAGCTACAGTACCATGTGGCACTAACTCTTGCATAAATATGTCATTGCATTTGCGATTCTTCTTCCTGTGAAGGCTTGCCATGTGTAATTAGATATGTAGCATGAAAGTGTCATGGACAATACCATGTGTTATGTTTTTTCCCTTTCAATCAAACAATCTGCTACTCAATGTCTACCATATTTTCTTGAGTATAGTGTATGCCCAAGTATAATGCGTGGCCCCCCTCTAGCAGATTCAGTATTTTGGAGAAAATAAATTCGAATATTAAGCGCAGAAAATAATTACACCGAAGCAAATTCCAGTAAACGAACGGGTGATGAGAAACCTGATCAGTACAAATTAGAAAGTTGAGATAAAAAATCACCAGACATGTTGATTTACCATTTAAATTGTAGTTTTTGTTCTGCTAGGTATTGTTTTACATCCAGGGATTAAGATTACCTTGTGTATTTTCTCGTAAAGTAAGCCAGAAACAGCAATCAGCTGTACACACGTTTTCTTGGAATCTACCAGTGAATCTTTTAAAACTTACCCAATGATATAACTTTACAGGATTTTGATGCAAGGATCGGGAAAACTTGTATTTGAAACTGTTTTTATATCAAGAATAGTATATTCCAATATCTTGCTATTTTAGTTGCAGCTTTTACTAAATATATTTAAAATAATAATAACTACAACAAATATGACTTTTAACGAGTCAAAGTATGGCATTTATGATATATGTATCCATTCTCTGTCAACAAAAGTTTGTTTCAAGGCGTCAACCAAGGTAATCTGACCATGGTTGCTGTTAACAACGGTGAGTTGTGCGATCTTCAGATCGCTTCACACACGATTTAGCCAAAATTAATTAAAACAATATTAAAGTAATTTTGTATAAAATGATTGAAATAAGTTACAAACATAAGTCCATATATATATACAATGAACACTTTTTATAGCCAGACAGCGTAATTACATGATTAATTTGCGTACTTCAGTATGGATTTGTTGACATGGTATTTCCGGTGTTACGTGCTCACGGTAATGTCTTTGCGGGGGGAAAAAACATCAAAACTCATTATGGCATGTATAATGTGCACCCCCTTCTACACAGCTGTGTTTTTGGGAAAAAGGTGTGCGCTATACTCAAGAAAGTACAGAATTAATTTCAATAGATAGCCACATAATATCACATATTCTGATACTGATCGTCAAAACTTACATTATGTGTCAAAAATCAAATTTGGATTATTAGAATCATCCTTCTCTCTGGATACATAATTATAGCAACAAAAAGATTGATTTTATATTTTTGAACTGAACACACAACCAGGCAGCTCATTTCTGAAGGTGTCAAAGTTACTAGGTTACTAGGTTGATAAAAATGAAGAAAATTGACTCCCATATTGTCACCGTGATGTTTCAGGTCTGTAACATGATCATATGCAGGGAATCTCTGTAAGTGTATATCAGCTACTTGAACTACTGTACTTGCAGCGCTACAGCACTAATCATACGAAGACTTGTGAACTTTGAGTCAGACAAGCCTCATCTATCATTCTTATGAAGACAACACAATTCTTTTGTCTTCCCATGTCCTTTAATTAGGGAATGCACAATCAGATCGACATCTGAAATATATAGCAGCTACATATATTATTAGAGGAGATTTAAACTTCTACCAGTGATAGTCAGACTTGGCCATAACCAGGAACTTGTACAGTTTCCAGGAATTGGATCCTGGTCAATCTTCAGGAGTATTATCTGTTGCAGTGGAAGATTGAAAGCGTAAGAGTGGATGATGGATGTTGTTGTTCTCTGATGGAGCAAGTCTGAACCCTGTCACCAATGATCCCCTGAATACAGAAATGGTAGTGTACTGTTCTTGGAGAGCATCAGTGGAAGGGCACGGACACTAATGAGACAAATGATTTTCCTTGAAACAGTTGTGTTTAGATATGGTCACTTTTTCTTGAGGATTCTGTCTTTTATCTTCATCTTATAATGCAGCAGATTATCATCAAAGATATATCATAGAATCTTGATGAGTTCTTGAGTTTAAGCTCGCTGTGACAATGTGACCTTATATGCATCCCCGACATGGGTACAATGTGTGAAGCCCATTTCTGGTGTCCCCCGCCGTGATATTGCTGGAATATTGCTAAAAGCGGCGTAAAACCATACTCACTCACTCACTCATTATATGCATCCCTTGTCTGTCATCAATCTGTCCATCGATCCATTTGCCCAAAACTAAAAACATTTCTTTCTTCCAAAACTATTCAACATATTTCACAGAACATGTTCTGCAAAATACTTTGGTTTTACTTATTATCACCATGGATTATAAGTCTTATAAACATCAAACTACACATGTTCATAGCGTCTCCATAGTTCATGGCACAGAGACTCAGATTAAATCTATGATTATTGGTCCAGTTCATGACACCTGCCTGACCACACTCCCCCACGTCCTCCCAAGTTCTATTATGTGTTGTATGGATGGCTTGACCAGCTAGTCTGTGTCTGTGGGTAGCATGGCATCCCCTACAACTATGCTTCTTCAGGCAGTAAACATAACTCCCCAAACATGGTTATGCTCATGCATGTTGTTAAGTTTCAATATACCTTTCGTCTTGTAGATTCATAGGAACTGAACAGACTGAAGATCTTAGCAATTTGGATAGATAATTGAAATAATATGGCAGCAGCTAATTGTACTATGATCTGTGTTATTCATCAAATTGTCAAAAGTCTAGTAAACAGTGTGTTTTTATAACCTGTATTACTTCTTGAAATTTAGAAGTAATTCAGCCTTATCATTTACGTATGTCCATACATGTAACATCTGATGTATGATCATGCCCTTGCTGTATGGGTGGAAGGTATTGTGACATTTGATTTTCAGATTTAAATTTTTAAGACATTTTCATTAAAAGCATTGGCATGTTACCTGTAAATGAGGCTGATGACGTAGTTCGTGAGCTCTTTCTACATACAACATACAAAATGATAATACAATTTTCCATACTGCAATATGATGATTGACACTTTTGCACAAAACTTATCAAGTGTTAGCCAGGTAGAGAGTAACATTTAGCCTCTGCACCTCCTCTACTCGGGTCTGCATAGTAAGTAACACATGTTCATTTATTGCACATGAAAGATAGATATGTTTGAAACTGTCGCTTGATTATCACACCTTATTCATTATTTCATGTGTGTTCAATGACTATGAACACACAAACATCAAATCTTTGAAGGTGGCAGCAGTTGATGAAGGTGTCAGGACATACCTGTGAGCTGTGTATCCTGTCATCCATCTGGCAGACTTGCAGCTCCTGATCCTGTTTTCTCTGCCACCACTGGGCACAGCTATATACTTGGTGACATGATAGTTATCTGTCTGTCCCACGTATCAGCCACCATGTTGTGCTGGGGAACACTCAGAGACATGACCAGCAGTATGACAGTGCAGTTGTTGTTATAGCTCTCTATTTGCTATTGATCCAGCTCCAGCACTGACTCCCCAGATGAAGGGGCCATATAGCAGTCTTTTCTCATCACCAGCTTTAAGGATGTTTGTATTGCTCCTTATATATAAAATATGCTTTAACTTTGACAACTGGAAATGATAAAGATGCAGTTGCTGCGGTTTAAATAATGACTTACTAAAGGTGTATCTGTATTGAGTATCAATCTCTTCAGTCAGTTGCATGTTTTCAGTTTTATGAAAGTACTGTGATCCACCATGTTACACATAGAGTAGTGTGATCCACCATGGTACACAGAGAGTAGTGTGATCCACCATGGTACACAGAGAGTAGTGTGATCCACCATGGTACATAAAGAGTAGTGTGATCCACCATGGTACACAGAGAGTAGTGTGATCCACCATGGTACATAGAGAGTAGTGTGATCCACCATGGTACACAGAGAGTAGTGTGATCTACCATGGTACACAGAGAGTAGTGTGATCCACCATGGTACCCAGAGAGTAGTGTGATCCACCATGGTACACAGAGATTAGTGTGATCCACCATGGTACACAGAGAGTAGTGTGATCCACCATGGTACACAGAGAGTAGTATGATCCACCATGGTACACAGAGAGTAGTGTGATCCACCATGGTACACATAGAGTAGTGTGATCCACCATGGTACACAGAGAGTAGTGTGATCCACCATGTTACACAGAGAGTAGTATGATCCACCATGGTACACAGAGAGTAGTGTGATCCACCATGGTACACAGAGATTAGTGTGATCCCTTATGGTAGCCAGAGAGTAGTGTGATCCACCATGGTACACAGAGAGTAGTGTGATCCCTTATGGTAGCCAGAGAGTAGTGTGATCCACCATGTTACACAGAGAGTAATATGATCCACCATGGTACACAGAGAGTAGTGTGATCCACCATGGTACCCAGAGAGTAGTGTGATCCACCATGGTACACAGAGAGTAGTGTGATCCACCATGGTACACAGAGATTAGTGTGATCCCTTATGGTAGCCAGAGAGTAGTGTGATCCACCATGTTACACAGAGAGTAGTATGATCCACCATGGTACCCAGAGAGTAGTGTGATCCACCATGGTACCCAGAGAGTAGTGTGATCCACCATGGTACACAGAGATTAGTGTGATCCCTTATGGTAGCCAGAAAGTAGTGTGATCCACCATGTTACACAGAGAGTAGTATGATCCACCATGGTACCCAGAGAGTAGTGTGATCCACCATGGTAGCCAGAGAGTAGTGTGATCCACCATGGTACACAGAGATTAGTGTGATCCCTTATGGTAGCCAGAGAGTAGTGTGATCCACCATGGTACACAGAGTATAATGATCCACCATGGTACACAGAGAGTAGTGTGATCCACCATGGTACACAGAGAGTAGTATGATCCACCATGGTACACAGAGAGTAGTGTGATCCACCATGGTACACATAGAGTAGTGTGATCCACCATGGTACACAGAGAGTAGTGTGATCCACCATGTTACACAGAGAGTAGTATGATCCACCATGGTACACAGAGAGTAGTGTGATCCACCATGGTACACAGAGATTAGTGTGATCCCTTATGGTAGCCAGAGAGTAGTGTGATCCACCATGGTACACAGAGAGTAGTGTGATCCCTTATGGTAGCCAGAGAGTAGTGTGATCCACCATGTTACACAGAGAGTAATATGATCCACCATGGTACACAGAGAGTAGTGTGATCCACCATGGTACCCAGAGAGTAGTGTGATCCACCATGGTACACAGAGAGTAGTGTGATCCACCATGGTACACAGAGATTAGTGTGATCCCTTATGGTAGCCAGAGAGTAGTGTGATCCACCATGTTACACAGAGAGTAGTATGATCCACCATGGTACCCAGAGAGTAGTGTGATCCACCATGGTACCCAGAGAGTAGTGTGATCCACCATGGTACACAGAGATTAGTGTGATCCCTTATGGTAGCCAGAAAGTAGTGTGATCCACCATGTTACACAGAGAGTAGTATGATCCACCATGGTACCCAGAGAGTAGTGTGATCCACCATGGTAGCCAGAGAGTAGTGTGATCCACCATGGTACACAGAGATTAGTGTGATCCCTTATGGTAGCCAGAGAGTAGTGTGATCCACCATGGTACACAGAGTATAATGATCCACCATGGTACACAGAGAGTAGTGTGATCCACCATGGTACCCAGAGAGTAGTGTGATCCACCATGGTACACAGAGATTAGTGTGATCCCTTATGGTAGCCAGAGAGTAGTGTGATCCACCATGGTACACAGAGAGTAGTGTGATCCACCATGGTACACAGAGAGTAGTGTGATCCACCATGGTACACAGAGAATAGTGTGATCCACCATGGTACCCAGAGTAGTGTGATCCACCATGGTACACAGAGAGTAGTGTGATCCACCATGGTACACAGAGAGTAGTATGATCCACCATGGTACACAGAGAGTAGTGTGATCCACCATGGTACACAGAGAGTAGTGTGATCCACCATGGTACACAGAGAATAGTGTGATCCACCATGGTACCCAGAGTAGTGTGATCCACCATGGTACACAGAGAGTAGTATGATCCACCATGGTACACAGAGTACTGTACATGCGGTTTGTTCATTCATATATATATATATATATCTACAAAGCCATTATGATATTCAACAATTTCTGGCAAAGCATTAGCAGTACAACTCTTCTAGTTTATGTGTATTACTGGGTTCTGTGGCTGTGATGCAGCTGTTATTTAGAACGCACCTAATGCCACCATCTGTCTCGTAGTATCGCTGATGTCAGACAAACAGGATGCAGGATTCAATGGATATTACCTTTGATTCTCTCCCTAGATGTCAGGCTGACATTCCACCTTGCTTTTCAAATGATTCCTAATTATTGCCAGTCAGTAAAACATTCATTGAACTTTCAAACATATACGGTGCAGTTTTTGCCCACTGATCATTTGTTGATAGTGTTCTGAGCTGTTGGGTATACTTCTCAACATATGTAGATGACATAGGCCAGGAAATGAAAATCTAGTACCAGGTATCAGTTTCAATGTTTACTGAAATACCTGACATTCTTTCTGGAAGCAATATATAGAGTGACAGCAGGAGCCCTGCTCCAAACTAGAAACAGTTAAGTAATGGTTTTGACATTCCTATTTGAAACCTTTTACCTGAAGTCAAGGCTGGCATTGTTGATAATATACTTTTGGGTGTAGTTAATACAAGAGAATCACTGAAAATCCTTTCCCGTCTAGGCAGATATAGTAACAGAAATAGCACTTACAGGTCATATACTTTCTATGTTTTATTTTGTCTTTATATTTATCCCCCATCACAAAGTGGGTGCCATCCGTCCGTCTTTCCGTCCATCCATCTGTCCTTCCATCCATCCGTCCGTCACATTTTGTTTCCGGATCATGACACAAAAACCTTTTGATAGTTTGGGATTTTTATTTTTTTTATTTTTTTCGAGTTTCCATGGCAACGACTTTGACTTACTCTGAAAATAACCAAACTTTGCACAGATCTTGAAAACCGTACATTATTTCTTCCAAACTTGGCATATAAATATGTCAAGTACTAAACTGGTACATTTTCATAGTTTTGGAGTTTTGACGAATATTTCCTTAGCATGTTTACATATTCTTCAAAAATATCTACGTAGGGTTGTCTGAGAACAGTTACCATAATTACCTAATTGAGATGTATACCACTTGACAAAGGAACTTGTGAATTATTGTGAAAACACAATTTACAAGTGGCATCTGAACCAGCCTTACGTTACTTCCTCGTAGTGGGTACCAGTAACATGAACAGTGGCACCTGAACCAGGGTACCAGTAACATGAATCGTGTCGCCCAAACCAGCCTACTTCCTCGCAGTGTAAGTTTGTTGGTGTGCTTGATGTTTTGTGTTTCACAGAAACACACATCAATGATTACAGTGAAAGAGACCTGCCAGGATATCAAGTCTATCCAGGAGACACTACACATGGTATTACTGTGTATGTTTCAATAAGTTTCAAGAACAGCGTCCAGCTATGTGATGTAATGTCATCTCGCAGTATTGAATACATTTCCTTTCTTGTTGGCAAGTCCTGCATTGCTTGTGTGTATGTTCCTCCAAAAGTGTCATGGACACGGTTGTCACATTCACTTACTCATTTCATGCAGAAACTTCAGGATCTCTCCAAGCAGCATGAATGTGAACATGTCCTAGTTACTGGGGATTTCAACTGTGATCTGAGTGAAAAACTGAAACTTGAAGATTTCTTTAACGTGCGGAAAATGACTCAACTCATTCACTCTCCAACTCACTGTCTAGGAGCTACAATGGAATTGTTGTTTACTGATCATGCCAGTGCTGTAGCATTCCAGACTTCAGTCTACTATTCAGATTATCAGATGATTGGTGCTGTACTTCTCAGCACACCTCATGGTGACCCCTGCTCTCATTAATCTCCAAATACAGTAAGAACTCCCTTACTTCTCTGTTTAAGTAATAACACAACTCATTACAAATACAGTTTCGTATTGTATCATAAACTGCATATGGCAAAACAACACCAGTAATAACTTTTTTAGTGCTGCAATTACACCATTTACAAAAGGGTCCAGTGAATATAGTTCTCAGGAGCTAATGCATTGCACACAACCGGACATGTCATATTGGCGGGGGATATGAGTATTTCAAGCTTGTTTTTATACAAATCAATGATAAATAGATCTACTGATTTAACATGTAGACATCAAGGTAAACAGCTGTCTGGCACAGTTAATTACTACCAACTGCCTGTTATAGAGATAAGCAAAGCTTGTCCATAATGTCGTGATTGGTTATGGATGTCACTTGAATCTCGGATATGCAGACCACAAGCCATCGCTATCCTGCCCACATTCTTCCAAAACCTGATTCATGGGATACTTTCATTTCAGCTGCTCTAAACCGAGCAGATTTAGTGCTTCATCCCTGAGGATCTTATGTGAAGACAAAGTCTTTGTGTGGTTTAATGAGCTATGGACCTTGGAAATCTAGTTGATGAATTGATCATTACTTGAGAAGTACATGTGTAATGTTCAGTGAGCATCAACTGTCAAGAAATATCACTGATGTGGCCATCTGCATGTCTTATATTAAGGGAATGTGTGAAAGGAAAGGTCGATCAAAATCCCTGGCAGAGCATATGAAGTGAGAGCACTTGCCAGGGTTGCACCACATCGGAACACTATATACACATGTGTATTTACTTATATGCCACACATGATTAACAGATCCAATGATTCTTCTTGCTACCGATTGTTTGGGTAAAGTTTTTCATCAGACAAAATGTATAATGGATGCTGTCCCAATGTAGATTACATGTACTTTGCTTGAGCGGTATATTGCTGTGTTTAGTGGTGAATCGCATTGATAGTGGGCTCCAGTTGTACAGTCTAGCTTTGGAACCAATTACAAGCTGGGAGTTGGTAAATATCACAGGTTGGTGGCCATGAACAGTGAGATAACACCACAGCCCATCAGCAGGCTTGCCTGGAGCATCAAGTACACTTAGTCTGTGTCTGTATGGAGGAGCGTAGTACCTACTTCACCCACCTCATGCCTTGTTCCTGCCTGCCTCCCCAGCTCATTATATAACTTCTCTGTAGGAGAGTACCAAGGTTATTGACTCTCTCATAAAGATGGAGACAGGGTTGACTCGCAGTAGGGCTAGTTTTCATATTGAAATGTTTCTTTACAAGAGATGCTGTTTTAGAAGCAGTTGATATTCAAATATCTTTGCATAGCTGAGATTATTTTGAGACATGTATTTGAGATACATGTTGCTATTTCTACTTGTACCAGCTGTTGTTACTGTCAACATGTTCCAGTCCAGTTGCCCCTCATCTTCTTGTATTATTGCTCATAAACTATTGACCAACACTATCAGACCCTTGCAGATTGAACTTTGTCATCTTTGCTATTTCCCATTTTGTTGAATTTCCCTCTTTCAGTGTAGGTTAAAGCCTTCTCATCGGCTTTGGTTGAAAATGTGAAACCGCGAGCACGGGAAAAGCCCAAGAAGTGATTTAACGACAGTGTTCCCTCGCTATTGCGCCCTTTAATATAGCACTAAGTCGGTTACGGTCGCGCAGTAAAGCATTGTTCCCCAAATTTACTTACATTTTTAAGGAACTCATGTTATAACATTATGTTCATTGTATATCTTGACTTATGTTTGGAATTTATTTTATTACTTTTGTTCAAAATTTCATTCAATATTGTTTACATTCATTATTACAAAATCCAATCTCATTAAAATCAGATCTTAGTTTTCGCTACCCCTAAACAAAGATCTGAGGACATCCCATTACAGGCCACGTCAGAACAACCTTTCACGAATTTTGACCGACCAATGAAATGACTGACAAGATATCAACATTAGCCAATCAGAAGGCAGTTTTCTCGAGCTTTACAACACTAGTTTCAAACTGGCGACTATGCTTCAAAACAATTTGACGTATTCTCAATTAAAAAAAAAGTAAAACTAATAAGAAGAACATTCTGGAATGGCTTTTGGATGGCCTAGATTGTATGGATATAATCATAAAACCTGTAACTGTCTTTCGGAATACCCCGTGTTAAATATTTCGTGGTTGCATGATTAGAAAACACATTCCGACTGTCACTTTCATGATCTGGTAAGCGACGCCCTGATTGGTTGGATGAAAGGTCGTTCTGAGGTGACCCTTAATGGGATGTCCTCAGATCTTTGTTTAGCATAGCAAGAACTAAGATCTGATTTTAATGAGATTGGGCAAAATCATGGGTGAAGTGATCGGTAAATCACACAACTCATGGTTATTAACAGCAACCAATGTCAGATTACCACTATTTATGCCTTAAAACGGACTTCAGTTGCCAGAGAATGGATACATATGTCATATATGCCATACTTTGACTCATTAACATTTGTATTTATTGCAATGTGACTATTATATGTCAACATTATGGTTTCGCAAACGAAATACATAAAGAGTGGAAAGTCCCTACGGTGACTGGTCAAATTGTTCCATACATAAAAATATCCGTCAATAGCAATCAGCTGTACCAAAGTTCAACACTTGTGGTTCTTATAATTTTAAATATATATTGTAAAAGCTACAACTAAAATAACAAGATATTGGAATATATTATTCCAGATAAAATAAAGATTTCAGATATAATTTCTTCCATCCATTGCATCAAAATTCTTTGAAGTTTTATCATTGGGTACTATTTGAATCACCGGTAGATTCTGAGAAAATGTGTATACAGCTGATTGCTATTTTCGGCTTAGTTTACAAGCTTAACACTCGTAATTACTGCATATAAAACAATGCCTTGGAGAGCTGGAAATACGATTTAAATAGTAAATCTTCATGTCTATTGATGTTTTATGTCAAATTTCATATTTTTATTAACCTGTTTGTTATACCTATTCGTTCACTTTAAAATAGATTTTTTTTTAAAGGACATTACACTTGATAAATATTAGTTTTACACAATGAATCAAAAACAACAACTATTCTTATATTTCTTTTAAACTCTAAAACATGCATCGTACATTGTGTTAGGTCGGCAGGGCATGTACAGTTGTGTTGGTCATCTACCCCCTACAACTCCTACCTCGCTTAAGCCGCTGATCATCTATGATGCTCATATATTATTTGGACCCCAGAGGTAGTGTTGTAGTGAGGGATCA